CACCATTAACATTGACTTGTTTTTTTTCATCATGCCAAAGGGAAAATTATTTTAACTCTTCCTCTTCCTCCCAGTAATGAGTTCTTGAAAAACAGTAAATAAATCTAATCAGTTTTCTGTCGTGCCATGAGTGAAAGCAGGATTTTTTTAATTTTTCCCCCTCTTAACCTAGGAGTCTTATGGATATTCTAAAATCTTCTCTGTTGTGAGTGTGTGTAAAGGTAAAGGTAAAGGTAAAGGTTCCCCTTGACAATTTTTTTTTGTCCAGTCGTGTTCGACTCTAGGGGGCAGTGCTCATCCCCGTTTCCAAGCCATAGAGCCAGCGTTTTGTCCGAAGACAATCTTCCGTGGTCACATGGCCAGTGTGACTTAGACACGGAACGCTGTTGTGAGTGTGTGTACATTTATTTAATATTAAAATGCTAAAAGCAAGGCATCATTCTAGAAGGTGGTTTTGTATATTGTACACTATGGGTGAAGCTTGGGGAAGATCTCTTAGAGTTGGCTTTATTCCCATTAGCATGAGAAAAATAGAAATTGACTATACATGCCAGATTTTATTTATCTGAGCTATCATTATATTTCAATTTACTGTCAGGGTCGACCTAGATAGATAATTTGGGACCACCCAAGGTGGTTGTTCTGGGAGTTCAGGATGGTATGTTTTCCCTGTCTGTACTCATAAACCTTTAGGTAACAGGGCAGGCTTTTCCCTGGATGGAGATGAGTTACAGGAAGATATAGTTTTGATTTCTCAGAGTAGCAGTCAAAGCACAGAGGCTAACAAAATAACAATATTCTGAGTGCATGGCTCTCTAGATCATGTGAATAGTGATAAGGAGTTTGTGCATGGAAAACACCTTACTGCCGAAGACAACTAGGATGGCCTTGCTAATAAAAACACCTCTCTCTCTCTCTCTCTCTCTCTGTTTATTTGTTTACAATGGCTATAGTGAAACATGCCTTAGTTACATGCTACTTGGATCACTGAAAAGTGTTCTATGCAGGGCTGCCTTTGAAGATGGTTTGGTTCAAAATGCAGAAGCCAAACTGCTGACTGGGGTCAGCTATGAGGAGTGTTTAACTTCCATGTTATAATAACTACACTGGTCCATTTCCAAGCTGAGTTCAAAATGCTGATTATGACCTATAGCAGCGGTCCCCAACCTTTTTGGGACCACAGACTATTTGGGGCTCTGTGTGCGGACCGGTTGGGGGACGGGGGCATGCTTGCGGAGGGGTGTGTCAAGCTTGCATGCATGAGCGCAAGCGCGATATGCCCACCCACTCTCAAAATCTGCCTGGCTTCTAATTTCAGCCCAACCGGGAGTGGGAGCAGCAGCAGCAGCATCTACTTGGCGAGCGCAGGGCTTCCTCATCAGGGGCTCCCAGAAGCATCCTGCTTCGGAGTTGTCTCCCTGTTTCTGGAAGGCACAGGAGCAACTCTGCTACCGACCCTCCCCGCCATGTAGGGGCTGGGTCCCGCTTGCCCCCCCAAAGCACCCACGCATCCAGAAGGGGAGCCCTCTCCCTGCCCGGCAGTCTTCTCCCTCTGAAGCGGCAGAGCTGGCGGGGTCAGGGGTTTGGCGAAACCGGGGCTTCTGGTTTTAGGTCTCTCTCTCTCTCTCTCTTTCTCACCCCCACCCTGCCGCTCTTTGCGGGTCACCTGGCAAGACACTCCAAAGGAGGGGGTGACACGGAGCTCTTACCTTGAGTGCCTTGTCGGGCCACATCTCCAGGTGCTGGTGCCATTGCCGCTGCAGCTGCTGTTGCCTTGTCCTCTCTGCGGCTGAGGTGAAGGAGGCTGCCCGCTTCTCCTTCCTCCCGCCTGGCGCTCCTCTGCTCCCTGCCCAAACGTGCCGCGGGAAGGGGTGATGCCAAGAGCACAGCCTTCTCACGGGCACTCCCCTCCCCCCAGTTTCTATTCGCAGACTGGCGCAGAGAGCTCGTGCCCGTCTGTCCGTCGGTCTTGATGGTCTGTTGCCCGTTCCCTCCCCCTCTCTTCCTTTCCTTTTCCTTTCCTGCTGCTGCTTGTTTGCCGCCACTGCCAGGGCCGAAGAGCCGCGGCCAACAAGGGGGACGAATGTTCCGCCCAAGAGAACAAGGCAGCCAGTAGCAGGCACCGCCGGCCCACCCGCCAGCTAATGGGGAGCCATGAAAGCATGACACACCCACCCGCAAGTGCGACACGCTTCCCCGTGCAGGCGGGATGTGTGTGTGAATATCCATGTCCACGACCCAGTTAAAGGAAGCCCACGGACCGGCACTGGGCCATGGACCAGGGGTTGGGAACCCCTGACCTATAGAGCCCTATATGTTTTGGGTCTGTGTTTTCCCATATGAGCTTTTCTGATCATTAAGATCTTTAGAGGAGCCCCCCCCCCAGTTCCATTGCCATTGCAGGGATGTTTGATGGGGACACAAGAGAAGGCCTTCTCTATGGCAGCTCTCAGATTGTGGAATGGTCTCTTGGAAGATGAGGTTGGCCCCTTCCTTCCACCAACAGTTGAAGATCCACCTGTTTCGGCAGGCTTTTAATAGCCATGATTGAGTCCCTGAATCTGATTTGTAACTAAGTTTAATGGATATGGAACAACTGATTGGAACTGATTCGTTCAAAATCGGGAAGGGAGTACGACAAGGCTGTATATTGTCCCCCGGCTTATTTAACTTATATGCAGAATATATCATGCAAAAGGCTGGACTGCAGGAATCGTCCTCCAGAGTTGTATCATCTGCATATTGGAGGTTGTTGATATTTCTTGGAACTGATTCGTTCAAAATCGGGAAGGGAGTACGACAAAGCTGTATATTGTCCCCCGGCTTATATGCAGAATATATCATGCAAAAGGCTGGACTGCAGGAATCGTCCTCCAGAGTTGTATCATCTGCATATTGGAGGTTGTTGATATTTCTTCCAGCAATCTTAATTCCAGCTTGGGATTCCTCCAGTCCAGCCTTCCGTATGATGTATTCTGTATATAAGTTAAACAAGCCAGGGGACAATATACAGCCTTGTCGTACTTCTTTCCCAATTGTGAACCAATCAGTTGTTCCATATCTAGTTCTAACTGTGGCTTCCTGTCCCACATATAGATTTCTCAGGAGATAGATAAGGTGGTCAGGCACTCCCATTTCTTAAAGGACTTGCCATAGTTTGCTGTGGTCCACACAGTCAAAGGCATCCTACCCCTTCCTAAATGTTGTTGTTTGTTAAGCACCACTATGTAACTAACAAGGCATTTTTAACAAAAAGATGTAAGAGAAAACCAAACCAGCTTAACCAAATGCAACCTCTGTTGTTCCATATTAAGTGGTGTTGTGTGCTTGAGTGTAATATATATTCAGAAAGCATATACAGTACATTAATTAGTGAAGACGTGTTTTTTAAAAATTGGGTATCTACCCTCTTTTAAGCATTAAAGAAGCACATGGTTTTGTCCATTGGGTGGGACTTTTAAAATTACTTTTGTCTACCCCTCAGTCATACTGTCTTCCTTTTGCTGCATCAGTAATGTTTTACATGCATAGTCAAAAGTAATTAACAGCAATATCAATTTCTCCATTTCCCTATGCTTGGCAACATTTTTACAAATTGAAGTAGGCTTCATTAATTCATGCCTCCAGAAAAGATTTTTCAAAACCTAAATGTACAGACCCAATCCACCACCCCTTGTGTAAAAACAATCAGGCTTTTGAAATAAGTTTAGAAATGAGTTGGGGGAAAAAATTAAAAATATGTGTTTAAATGCTATGACATAAATCTGGCTCACAGAAACTCCAGCAGGATGTTGATTTCCTCTCCTTTCTTTTTCCTTCATCAAAGCGTAAGAAAGCCAATAGGATTAGCTATGAGAAACAACAGTGATTAGTGGATGTAAGATGATTCTACCTAGCAAAATAATCTGAGGGTCAAACTAGATGATACAGATAGCATGTCTTTAGAACCAGGAATGTCTTAAATGCTAAATTGTCATACTGACAACCAGCATGACATATTACTTTCAAACCACAAACTCTTCTCACCTCCTGTAGCTTGCATATTTACTTGCTTTGTTTTGTGATTGGCCCTTGAGAGGTGAATGTGGGCTTCATTTCAAAGTCTGATTATCGGGACACTAAACTCAGATGGAATTCCATCACTGGAACACTAACATGCTTTCAACTTCTAACAATATGCTATCTGTATAATCTAATTTTTAAAATCAGAATATATTAAGTGGCCTAGATCACAGTCTTAAGCTGAGGTTGATGGCTGGAAGAGGTAGGATGACAAATCAGTGTCTGTTAGTTGGTAGGGGAGAATCACTGGGTGGCTGCTTCTCTGCAGTCAGAACCTTCTCTATACCAGGCAGGTAGAAACCTTCCCTTGACAAAGGGTAGGATGACAAATCAGTGTCTGTTAATTGGTAGGGGAGAATCACTGAATGGCCGCTTCTTTGCAGTCAGAACCTTCTCTATACCCAGGCAGGTAGAAACCTTCCCTTGACAAAACAGAAGTTCCATGGACAGTGTAGAGCTGGCATCCAGAGTTGCTCCCTTTCCCTAGATGTGGCCATTCTGGACTGCACTTGGCAGACGGCATAGCTATGTAACTTCTCCCCCATTACTATCGATAGGAGAATGGGAAAGAACAATAAATAGAAGAATCCCTTGGGATAACTCGCCCAGTGAAATTACCCCCATTTCCCTCCTTAGCCAGCATATGTGAGTGAAGACTGAGTGAAGAAGCAGATCTGCTTTTGTCAGATCTACCAATCAATCTTAGCCTGTTCAGTTGCAATTCTGTTTTTTTTAAAAGATAAGATGAGATCCCACTGCACTCTGTAGAACTTATTTCTGAGTGAGCATACGTATATTGGATTGCACTGTTGCATTTAGGAAGGTGTAAGCCATACTGAACATACTACTGCAAACTTTGGAGTCATAAAATAGAAGAAGGATTGCACTATTGATGTAGTCTTTTTTTTTGGCAATAACCGTTGGTCTTTCCATTTCAGGTAAATCATCAAGATAATATGGTGCGCCTGGGAGAATGCAAATGGACTCATATGTTTCAGTTTCTTATGGTATGTATTTCAAGCACATAAACTGCAGGACAAAATGAGATGCAGCTGCTAAGAGGCGCTTGTTGACATGTTTCAAATATTAAATGTTGTTAACCTGGACTAAAATCATCTGAAGCAATAATGAGTTGCTGCAGAGCTGGTCCTTACAAGATGTAGTGAGGGCTGCCAACATGGATGGCTGTGGAAGAGGTTTAGACCAACTGATGGAGGATAAAGCTGTCCATGGCTACTGCCCACAAGAAGCCTAAATTATCTCCACCGTCAGGGGCATCACACACTTAGGTACCAGTTCCTATGTAACAGGAATGGGCAGCCCAACACATTCTGAGGTAAAGGACATGTTAGTGCTTCCCTGAACAGAAGCCAGATGACCTGGCAGCACCATATTACTTCTGTACTGGCAATGGGATGAACTCCTTTACTGCAACTGAGGACAATAGGGTAATTTGTGGGTGCAAGACAGCCATGTCACAGACATGCCTTTCATCCAATAGAGGGCTGGGAGGCTCAGGAAAAATGGCCAGAAGACTGCCACTACTGCTCCACAGTGTCTGCCAGCTGAGGCTTTGCCTCAGTGCACCTAATGGTAGGTAGGGGTCGGCCTCCCTGGACTCTAAAAGTTCAGTGCTGTGCAGCATCACTTCTACGTAAATAAATGAGAGCAGGAGATGTATTAAGAGGAGGAAATGTAGCCAATGAACTAATCAGCATTTACCGTTTGGTCACAGGTGTCACTCGTGTATTTTGCTAATGGTGAATATTCTAACTGCGGTGAAAATGAATACTACAACCAGACAACAGGAATGTGCCACGAGTGTCCACAGTGTGAGCCAGGAGAAGAGCCATACATGGTGAGCTCTCTATGCATTTCCTGCCTTTTTGACAAATCTTTTACAGGGAATGCTAACATTTGCACTTTATAAGATAAAGATAATTAATCATGGCCCTCAGAAAATGATACACACTGTTTGAAATTCAATTTAAAAAAGAACTGGCTCAGCCTTCCCGTCCTCTACTCACTCCTGTTACAACTGCAAGTTTATCTTCTATATATAACAAAATTGTGAGCTTCCTTACATAAGGGGAAGAAGAGTGTCTCAGTGGCACAGTGCTTGCTTTGAGTGCTTGCTTTGAGTGTCAGAGAGCCTGAGTTCAGTTCCTGCCTTCTCCAGTTGAGAAGATCACGCGACAGTTGGTGGGAAACGCCCTGGAGAGCTGTAGTTAACCAGGGTGTCCTCCAGACAGAAGGCCCCTTGCTCCCAACAAAGTATATCCTGTCTTTTCAATCCTTTCCTCCGCTTTCCTGATTTTTCTGTGGAGAGATGAGAAAATAGAAGAAGTAGTAGGAGAACATGGGAGGGTTGCAAGTGGAAGATAATGGTGGCTGTGCTCCCTGTAGAATGGAGCCAGACAAAACTGCACAGTGAAAATTGAATAAATAAAATTGAATAAATAAAATCTCATTGGGAAGCACCCTTAATATAGCAGGCAATGAATATGATTGCAAAAGATACAAGGATGGCAATGTGGACTCTGTAAGGCAGATAGACTGACCTGGTTTAAAGCAATTTCTTATGCCCCCATTCATTGAAACAAGAAATCTGTATCAAATCACATTCATAGGCCCAACACCTGCCTTCTCTTGTTCTAAAATACCAGTGAACAGAGTTATTTTGTGTGCTGCACAGGGGTATCATTATTCTAAATTTCCCCACTGTCGAGAAAATGGCCACCACATGGTGGTTATGAGGTAAAAATACCACCATCGCGTTCCAAGTGGAGTTTGAAAGGAGGCTGGCATGGGCTAGCAGCGAGGGCAGCACAATCTCTCTCCCAGGCAATTTCAGATAATTGCATTGCATCCGCCGTTTTGTTTGGCCCATGCTCTTGTTGTCCTGGTCAGCATTTGTTTTTTAATGGGGACCATACTTTGAGCTGGGAAGTGTTGAATGCAAACCAAGAGGCATTCAAGGGCCCCTTTAAGTCCCCTCTGCTCAGTGGACAGCAGCGAGAGGGCTCCTCCAATCTAGGTAGTCCATCTGTCCATTCCCATTCATTTCTGTCTTGGTTCACGAAAGGGAGCAGGCAGCATGGGAGAGGAAACAGAATGGAAAGGGCTTTTTCACAGACAGCCTCTGTGTTTGTTCACACTGGAATGGGATGTTCAGCATAATCTTTGTAGGATAGATGTCACTTATACAAAAAAGACCAAAAAAGAGGAAATACATTGCCAACCAAAGAGGATCAGAAAGAGGCGAGGGCTTTGCATAAAATTGGATGTTGTTGTTGTTTTCATGTGCTATCGAATCAAAACAGTTTTATAACAAATTCAATTTCATGTGCTATCAAATCAAAACAGTTTTATAACAAATTCAATAGGGTTCGCAAGAGAAGTGAGATATTTAAGGAGTGGTTTCACTAGTTCCACACCCCCACTCAGTTTCCATGGCTGGCTGAGAATTCAAATCCAGGCCTCTTCAGTCTTACACCACACTGGGTATCCAGTAATGCTTAAATGATTTCTTGATGGATAATCTAATTCATACCCCAAAACCGCAGATTTAGAAATAATTGCTAGATAGTTGTGCTTAATTGATTTCTTTAAAGTTGGATAATCTAATTCATACCCCAAAACTGCAGATTTAGAAATAATTGCTAGATAGTTGTCCTGTTTAATATTTACATGTAAGGAGCAACAGAAGCACAAGCTGCCAGGGCAGTCTACCAAGGTACCAGTTATATTACTGGTTGCGCGAGGTGTATGTCTTTCATCTCCATATCAATCTCTGCTGTTAGAGCTCCAGGTATGTGGAGGCATTGATCAGGATACTGGCCAAAGGAGCCTGAATAAAAGTAGAGTAGAGGACATTCTAGTGACTAGACAGTGCTCAGGTGACCTGTGAGTCTGCTCTGAATTCTGTTCAGGGGCTAACAGTTGATTCAAGGCCTTTTGCTGTCATTTCTTATGGCTCTTCCTTTAAATTGCATTTTGACTGGATGGCCCAACCAGCAGAGTACTGTATGTTGTTATACAAATAATCTCTGCCAACAGTCTTTCAAATACTGTACAGTAGTGCCCTTTGCAAAGAAGAACACACAGCCTCCTTAACCTGTTAGCCCTATTCAGATAAGCTCAGGGGGGAACAGAGAAGCCCAAGGAGGGTGGCTGGTGATGTAACAGTCCTTGATGATCAGAAAGTCTCAGGATTTTGAGGTAGGAGCCCAGGCACCACTTCACCCCTAGTCTTGTCCCCAGTTTCTGACCTATGCATGGACAGTCCTTGATGACCAGAAAGCCTCAGGATTTTGAGGTGTGAGCCCAGGCACCACTTCACCCCTAATCTTGTCCCCAGTTTCTGACCTATGCATGGCCAAGTGAATGCCTGAACAGGGCTTTTGACTCAGTTGGAATGGCAGTAGATGAGAGCTTATGTTATTAATTTCTGTCCTGTGTTTTGGCACAAAAAAGTGCCTGTACAGCTTACATTAAAAATAAAAATAAATCAATAAATAATACATGAAGACATAACTTTGAGTACATTAATTTAAAAGCCAGATATAATTAATAGTACTGTCTTTTGTAAATCCAGAGAAATATAGCCCAATAAAGACAATCCGTCCAGCTGTCATAAAAACCTTGGTGAGAAAAAAAAATCTCCCAGAAACAGGAGACAAAGATGCCATATGCTGCTCTTTGGAAAAAGAATTCCAAAGCCTGGGTGCCACTACTGAGAAGGCTCTGCTCACCTTTCCTTCCCATTCTGTAGCCTCTGACAATGACGGGGCAAGTCATAATAATGGCAGATCCTATCCTGAGACAATGCATCAAGAATGTACAGTGTATGTGTGTATATCCATGCCCACATTTAATAGAAGTTGTTCTTAGCGGCTCTTTGACCTCCAAGACTCTCTTACTCCATAGACATGCGGATACGGCACTAGAGATGAAGACTACGGCTGTGTCCCCTGTCCATCAGAAAAATTTTCAAAAGGCGGTTATCAGATATGCAGGCGGCACAAGGACTGCGAGGGATTCTTTCGGGCAACTGTTATGACCCCTGGAGATCAAGAGAACGATGCAGAATGTGGCCCTTGTCTCCCTGGGTAAGGATTTAATTAGGACCCTTAGGTCTCTTCTGAAAAAAAGAAGAAGAAATGTTTTGTGCTGAAGGACCTAAACATATTTGTTTACAGCATTTACCCTGCTGACCACGTTTGTTTCTGCATCTGATTGAGTGCACAATAATTAATTACTGTATATGTAAATAATAGATGTGCTTTTATAAGTAACTTTGACATCAAAGAAAGTAGCATATGCTATCAAAGTAAATGAAATATAAAACAATTGTCTAATGATAAGAAGCAGGAAGGATATTTTGAATGGCAGAAGATGCACAAAAGGAAACTGTTTAAAAAACGAATATAGTACTAGAGCAAACTGTAGCTGTTTACATTAGCCCAATTTGTTGAAATGCTCGCTGAAATCCACCAGTAAATCGCAGCTTAGAGTGGGTCCATTGAATTAGTGGGGATTTGGTGAGTCAACTGCTCCATACGTTCCAGTGATTCAGTGGATCTACTCTAGTTGCAACTGACTACTGGATTATAGCCACTGTGTTCTATTAATAGACGTTATTTACACATGAAA